GACCCTCTGCAGCCTCACCAGCTCAGCACGTAAAGGGAGGCCGCGTGTCAGATTGCTGACAGTTTGTTACTCATCCTCCCCTGTGGTGCCGTCCAACATATTTGTGTTCTTCTCTCTTTACTCTTTCAGTTTGGATCTTAGCTCACATCTGAACTTGAGCAGAATCTTTCCTGCTTCAGTGACCACTAAGAGCTCAAAGGCATGTCACATCTTTTTTTTTTCTTTTGACAGACTGGTAACAAACAGCTTCTTCCTCCATTAGAGCCCTTTGGTTCTTTACAAGAAAAAAAAGCAATTTAGTGCACGACGTCAACTAAAGCAGCTGAAAAACTGCCTCTCTTTGAGCAGTATGGCTCACTCAGTTCACAGATGGAAACAGCAGAGAGACAAGCTAGAACAACCTTAACCTCTGATAAAAACAGTCGTAAAAAGGCAGAAAAAGAGGAAATGGGGGTTTGTGAAAAGGTTCAATTTTCCAGCCGTAACTGCTGATTATCTGATGTTCACAAGTGATGAATTGTGACATGATTTATAATTTTTAAAAATGGAAAAGTGCCTCTGCTTATGCTCTGCTTCGAACATGGTGAAAAGCACTTAATTATATACTTTGTTTCAAATTGGACTGAAATGAGGCTGTAATTACAGACTGTTGTTTTTACTGAAAAACCTGATTTCTACCCCCTAGGCAGAAGAGCGCACACAGTTTGACTCTTTTCATGAATGTTTTTAGAGCACTCTTCATGGTGCAGCTGCCACTTTGGACAAAGCAGCCGTCAACACAAAAAAAAAGGGTTTTAGTCGTTTGAATTTAAGATATTTTCTAACCTAAAAGTCTTATTTGTTGAGATAAAAGCTCTGAAAACTTTATATTATTATTACCTGCATCCAGTTTACACTTCTCATTCCGCAAATATATTTTGAACACAAAAATTGCTACATATGTATTTATTTATATTATATACAAGTATTAAACAGGAAATGAAAAAATATATTTTTAAAACTTTTGTTTGTCATCATGTTATGCGGTCTATAGCCCAGTAAATAACAGTGTGCCGTGTTTTACTGCAGTATTATTTTTGTTGGACTGAATTTAGTTATAAACAATTTGAACGATTTTTAAGTGTTTTTTTAAGTTGTTAAATATCTTAAGAAAATATATTAAAAATTTACAATAACTGTCTATTTTTTTCTAAACTGCCTTTTTTTCTTAAGAGAAAAAAATGCAAAAAAAGAAAAAAGAAAAAGCCTTATTTCAACTGACAACACTGAGTTGAAAAACAGATTACACAGTGCTTCCATTCGTAGCCTATGGACGTTGCTTTACTTATAGGAAATAAACAATATTAACAGTAAAACATGCATCTTTGTAGGTTATGATCAGAATTAAAGATGTGATTTTGGTTTGTATTTTTTGCACCGCAACCTAAAGATCCTTCTGTCAAAGTGTCAGGTTTAAAGTTCATAATCTGTATCATAAATATCTGCTAATTTAAATCCAAAACAGGATTACAAGATTCTGAACAAGGTTCTGGTGAATTAGATGAGCATTTATTGATAAAACATGAAAAATATATTTTTACATTGATTCAGTTGATTTTGTTACCTTTTGTACCTGTATTATTATGATATACACTCACTGGCCACTTTATTAGGTACACCACGCTAGTAATGAGTTGGACCTCCTTTATCCTTCAGAACTGCCTCAATTCTTCGTGGCATAGATTCAACAAGGTGCTGGAAGCATTCCTCAGAGATTTTGGTCCATATTGACATGATGGCATCACACAGTTGCTGCAGATTTGTCGGCTGCACATCCATGATGCGAATCTCCCGTTCCACCACATCCCAAAGATGCTCGATTGGATTGAGATCTGGTGACTGTGGAGRCCATTTGAGTACAGTGAACTCATTGTCATGTTCAAGAAACCAGTCTGAGATGATTCCAGCTTTATGACATGGCGCATTTATCCTGCTGAAAGTAGCCATCAGATGTTGGGTACATTGTGGTCATAAAGGGATGGACATGGTCAGCAACAATACTCAGGTAGGCTGTGGCGTTGCAACGATGCTCAATTGGTACCAAGAGGCCCAAAGAGTGCCAAAAAAAGATTCCCCACACCATGACACCACCACCACCAGCCTGAACCGTTGATACAAGGCAGGATGGATCCATGCTTTCATGTTGTTGACGCCAAATTCTGACCCTACCATCCGAATGTCGCAGCAGAAATCGAGACTCATCAGACCAGGCAACGTTTTTCCAATCTTCTCTTGTCCAATTTCGATGAGCTTGTGCAAATTGTAGCCTCAGTTTCCTGTTCTTAGCTGAAAGGAGTGGCACCCGGTGTGGTCTTCTGCTGCTGAAGCCCATCTGCCTCAAAGTTCGACGTACTGTGCGTTCAGAGATGCTCTTCTGCCTACCTCGGTTGTAACGGGTGGTTATTTGAGTCACTGTTGCCTTTCTATCAGCTCGAACCAGTCTGCCCATTCTCCTCTGACCTCTGGCATCAACAAGGCATTTCCGCCCACAGGACTGCCGCTCACTGGATGTTTTTTTCTTTTTCGGACCATTCTCTGTAAACCCTAGAGATGGTTGTGYGTGAAAATCCCAGTAGATCAGCAGTTTCTGAAATACTCAGACCAGCCCTTCTGGCACCAACAACCATGCCACRTTCAAAGGCACTCAAATCACCTTTCTTCCCCATACTGATGCTCGGTTTGAACTGCAGGAGATTGTCTTAACCATGTCTACATGCCCAAATGCACTGAGTTGCCGCCATGTGATTGGCTGATTAGAAATTAAGTGTTAACGAGCAGTTGGACAGGTGTACCTAATAAAGTGGCCGGTGAGTGTATATTAATCATTATTAATAAGTTAAGCACATGAGCCTTGAATAATTAAGAGTACTCAGGGGGTTAAAAAAATTATTTGCTGCTTCAGGTTGGTCCCGCTGGTGTCAAACTTATATCCACTTATGATTAACAAATGAACAAGTTACCTGAAACATTTGTGAACTGATGCATAAATTATCCGTAGACAATGATGTTTAAAGTACCACAAAGCGATACTTGAGTAAAAGTACAAGTATCTTACCAAAAATTACTTTGGTAAAAGTGAAAGTCTGCTTTAGGAATATTACTTGAGTAAAAGTATTAAAATATCTGATGTTTTTTAGTATTAAAAGTAAAAATATTGATTTAAAATGAGCAGTTAGATTTTCTGTAATGACATTTATCAGGAGGTGACCTCCCCAAAAAAATGCAGAAATGACTGTCATTAAAATAATTAATTTATGTTAAATTTAGAATGTACTGTTTCAGTTTATATGCATATATCAAGGGTGCCCAAACCTTTTCCACAAAATGAAAATCTATCCGAGGGCTTTGGCCAAATGCAATAATATAATTCAAGAAATACAAATACCTCCTATTTTTAAAAATACAGTCCTTTCATTTTTAATGATTAATCTAGCAGCCAGTGTGGTGGCCCACATTTTTGACGAACTGCACCATAGCCCCTTACATAGTCAATGGGCCAATGAATGTAATGACTTTAGGGAGAAATACTGTGTTTCTACACAGGATGACATTACAACCTAGTAACCATGGCAGCTGCTGATGGACCAAATCAAATGGCTTGGTGGGCCAGTTTTGGCCCACGGGCCTCACTTTGGGCACCTCTGATATAAATGTAGTGGTCACCTCAAGTGGAATAAACAATAAAACTGTCTTTGACCTCTGACGGGTCCCTTTAAAATAGACAGAACTCTGTTCCAATTAAAACTAACACAGCATCAGAATTTTATATATTTATACTTGAATGAGAATTCAACCACAATTAAATTCACTCTATCAAGGAGGCACAATTTATATGGATAGTATTTATTTTTTTACAATAACAAACTGGAATGAAAACAAGCAAAAATGAAATAAAAGTAACAACTTTCTACTTCTTGACTTTTTTTTTATAAAAATGTAAGAAGTAGAAAGTACAGATAAGTGTGTTAAAATGGAAGAAGTAAAAAGTAGACTGAAAAATAATTACTCAGATACCCAAAAAATACTTAAGTACAGTAACAAAGTATTTTTACTTTACAACTTTGTCCTTAGCATGCCTGGTAAAGCTATAATCTAAATATGAGCTGTGGACTGATCTGCTCAAGTGCTTACAGGATTTTTATCAGTTTCATCTTTAATCATCTATTCTGATTTCTCAGGGTTTTTTGCTGTCATGTATAAAAAGTGAACATTTTATCTGCACGGCCAGACAGGAAGGGCACCTCAGTGCAAAATGCTTTTATTTTGTTTCACAAAGACTCAGCTGGGAGCTCTCTGCTAACATTTGTCCATTCTCAACATAATTGTTTGTGCCACCCTGAAAGAGCCGTTTTAGCTACGACATTGACGACATGCAGTTATCTGAACTTAAGCTGGTCCCCCGAGTTCTTCACTGGAGCTGCTGACTGAATCATAATTGTTTATCTTAATCACTTAAAGACGACAAATCTCCCTGTAGGGACTCATGAAGCAGAACTTAGCCAAATTGCTAAAACGCAATCACCCCTAGAAAACAAGAGCTGCAGTAAAACATTCTACCAAACGGAGTAAAGAGAGGTCACATCGACTCTCTTTGGATTTCATATTCTGCATATTTGAACTAAACAGATTCACTATGAGACGTGTTTCATAGTGAATCTGATAAACTCCAGCGGATTGAAATCTTTATTTCAAATTAAAAGTCTGTTCCCCCAAATATTCCTCTGCAATTTCTACTTTTCACCATTCAAATCAGAATCTCAGAGATAAGTTACAGAGATGTCAACAAGCCCTTCGTCTCGTTTGAGCACTTTGTGTGAAAGAACAAAATGTTCAGAGGGTATAGATGGGACTTTTTGGAGCACAAGTTGATAGAAGAACAACAACGTCTGTTCAAGCAGTAAATGAGAGGAACAAGTTGGATCCAGCCCAGAATGATTCAGAGGCAGATACAAGTCACCAACCTGTATGTTGTCGAAGGACGATTTGTTTGTGACGTCGTACAGCAAAAGGAGAGCTGAAAGAAAAGAAAAAACACAAGAGTCCAATCTTAAATACATTGATAAAAAGCATTTTGAATTTATGCTTTAACCTCCAAGACTCAAACCCATTTCAAATAAAAAGCTCTTTAAAAAAGAAGGCTTGTTGAGTGATCTTTGTTCTGTAGAAACTCAGCGATGAAGAAAATAAACGAGACCACAGGGCTCAGCTAGACTTGTGCAGGATGGGTGTCTAAGTCTCTCCTGTGATTCGTTATCACTCAACGGTTCATCCAAAGATTCAAGTTGCATTCAATTTTCATCTGTGGGGGAAAAATATATCTATATTTTTTGGCTTTAGTTTTTTTTTGTTAAAAAAAAGTTTGAAAATTTGACACTTGGCCCAGATCGAGGTACAAAACTTTAAGAAGCTCGGATTTTATAGATTAAATCAGATGAGAAAAGGGAAAACAGATAGAAGATGAACTAAAAAGCAAAACAAAGTGAAATAAAACAAGCTAAACAGTAAGGACTGAAAGAAGAGGGATAAAAAAAGAAAACTTTATGATGAGAATTTTATGATTAATCCCCCCTCAATACCATTTCACCTCATGCACTCAATAAAAAATCTTAATATATGTCCATCGCAAATTTAGCTTTCCAATAAAATATGCAGTACATTATAAATCATAAAGTCACAAATCAGATTTGGAAAATGCAATCAGAGCAGCATCAAACAACACTGAAGCACTTCTTTAGATAGTCTAGGAAGGAAAAAGAAAAAAAAACATTCACTGTGATTTATCTAAGAAAATATTACCAATGTTTCATTTTTCGTTTTTTTTAGAAAGTCGTTTCTATCAAATGTTCCTGTCTAAATAAATTCACAATGATTTTCACACTAATCAGATTTTACAGATAATCTCTTTTCTAAACAATTCCTCCCATTTTCCCCAGATCATTTCTAAGATCAAAACAAGATGAAAGGAAAAAAGGTACATTTTCCTAACAAGCCAACATCTAAAGTTCAGCAGAACCCAGCTTCTATTGTTCCTCAGCTGATGCATCAATCTGCAACAGCAAAGATGGATTCTTGTAATAAATATTGAGCATTTGAGGGCAAACAGGGAACATAAACAATCTCTGCTCAGATCCAGGACATGAGTGCGGCTTTCTGGTAGTCATGTAACCTCCTTATAGCACCTTATTGCAGATGTTCATTTTGACCATTAACCAAACTATTTTTTTCCACTCAATCATTAAAATCCAGAGGTGTAAAGTACATTTGTTTCATTAAAATACCTAAGTATTTTTTCAGTTGTAGTTTTTACTTTTATTTCATTACATTAAAAACATAAAAATTGTACTTTTACTTCTTTACTTCAAAATGTAACACAAACAAACATGCTACAAATTTAAACACCACTGGAACTCCTCATGTAAAGAGTTGATTATGCATGCTCAAAAAGGAAGTGTTTAATTTATTTTAATTGTCAGGTTCCACTAAACCAAGTTGAGAGGTTTATAAATTTTCTTTAAAAGAAAATGCACACATTACTCAATTCACTCAGATTTGCTTTATTGTCATTCAAACATAACATCAGGGATAGAAGTTTGTGTAGAGTACAGCTAACTCCAACAAAAAGTGACTTGCCAAATCTTGGTTAATTGAACAATTAATAGAAAATTAGATTAACCAACCCAGTTAAATTGCATCGAGTTTAAGAAGCTAAGATATTAACTTTTTTACACAAGAACGAGTGAATTTTGTGAAGCGAAAGGAACACTTGATGACTCCCTGCACTCTCTCTCTCACAGCTGCCAAAGTGCCCCGCCACATAAATCAACTTGGAGGGGATTTTAATTCTCCTATCACTCCTGGTTTTATAACAGACAGGAAGAAAGGTGATCAGCATTTTAAAAGGCTCTGTGTAGAAGGAGTAGACTTCCTGTAATACGCCTCTTACCACGAATGGAAAAGTCATTGAAAACCCTGCCAAAGATTTAAAAGGTTGGACTCCAAAAATAAGTGCTGAACTATCAAACACAAATTAGTCCACAGGCATCATGTTACAGTGAAATTAATCCTGCTGTAGTTACGCAATCTGATTCCCACACCAAGAGAACCATTGATGAGGATTATACACAAAGATTATGTAGACTAAAAACAAAAATCCAATCCACATGTAATCAGTGAAATACACTCTCACAACTCTCTTGGTCTCAATTAGATCAACCCTGACACAGTTTTCTTTTAACTTACAAAAATCCCTCCTCAAAGTACTAAACAATGCATTTGAGTGAAGACATAAAATTTCAAAATCCTACTAGACTGTTTATCATGGAAACTAGAATGAGGTAATCATTTCCACGTTTAAATAAGGCCAGTAATACTTTTAAATATCATACATGTAAAAGATCTTCGATTTTTGTTAATAATCTATATTTTTGCAGAAATCTTCCAAATTATTATGTAAGACAAATGATTTGAGAACTCAATAGAACACAGACTATTTAAGTTGTTACTTTACAAAAATAATGACACAATTAGCTGAAGAAGGATCGTTTAGATCAGTGGTTTTCAAATTGGAGGCCATGGCCCCCTGGGGGTGGCCAAGAGGGCCTCAGAAAGCTGGGGGAAAGATAAGAAAATGATACAAAAAATAGATCCAATAAATGTTTTAAATCCTAATAAATTATAATTGGTTTTCTCAAATAGTTATTTTAAAGTATAACTTATAATATATGTTATTCAAGAGAGCTTAAGAGGTCTGATTTCTTTTATTCTGTTCTAATCATCAGTTTATTAAAAAGTTGATTTTTCAGTGCAAATAAAAACTGTTTAAAACATGTAAGTTAATAAAATTCTTATGTTACACAAATATAATAATTACTGAATAGTGAATAACAGTGAGGAAAAACACATTCTTTTAAACATTCTTGGCATGTTGCAGATGGCTTTAAGAACAGCCTACAGATGACATTTGACTGGATTAACACAATAACAGCTGATATGAGTGGAGAATGCTGCTGTCTTAAAACAACTTGATTAAAAAATATGCTTAAAAAATAAAACAAAGAAGACAAAATTTAAATCATTGTCAGTTTTGCTTTGCACAATTAATCTGCCAGAAATATGACATTCCTGCAGCATTTACAGCTAGCAGCTGGTGCTATTTGCACTTGGAAACCGTCAAATTTTATGTGAACAACCATGTATGTTTATGGCAGCACAGAGACTCAGTGGTTAGAACTGACACCTCACAGCAAGGGGGTCATGGGTTCGATTCCCGGTTTGTTCCTGGAGTCTTTCTGTGTGGAGTTTGCATGTTCTCCTCGTGTTTGCATGGGTTTTCTCTGGTTTCCCCCACAACACAAGACCTGTACAATATGTTGCCTTCAGGCCCAGGCCTCCCTTGAAAAAAAGATTTGCGATCTCAACGGAATTTGTCTGGTTAAACAATGTTTAAAAAATAACGATAAAAATAATAACATGACAAATACACTTATAAAGCTAATAAGACAGTGTTTGCTTGAGCTGCTAAATCAAACAGAAATGCACTGTGGTCTTAACTACGCTCAGACAAGCCATTAGCTTATCAATCATCTTGTCAGACAAAAACACATTCTCCACACAGAGGTGGTTAAAAAAGCTATCTGCAACAGGTTAGATGTTAATTGTTCATTACAGTTCCACAGAACCCCACTCAAAATATCTGAACTATCACTAATAAACTCAAACTCAGAAACAAGGGAATAATTGCAATTTAAAGTTTTATAGACGGACATATTAGTGCACAGGCAGAAATCCACTCTGATTTGTGAAAATGGATTAGAGATCACCAAGGACTCTCAGCATCTTGAACGTGCCGTCCTTCCTTCCTTTGAAAGGAGCTATAAAACCTCAGCACTAAATAAGCACGGCCAAGTGAAGAAAAAAAAACACTCATGTCTAAACCTGGCATGAATCTTTCTTCTGACTGCAAAGAGTGGCCTTTAAAATCTCATCAAAACTCCATTTCACTGCAGCGCTAAACAGAAAAAAAAGCTGCAAACAAACCCACATGAATTCAATAATATTTGAAATAATATTTGATTTACTTTGTGTATAGAGTTCCAGTTTATATCAAAGTTCATTTCAGGAATCTGCACAGAAAGCGTAAAAAAAAAAAATCCACACATCTCCATCTATACTGCTTCTTCCTGTCAGGGTCAGAAGGGTCATGGGGGTCACTGGTGCCCATATCCAGCAGTCACTGAGTGAGGGGTGGGGTACACCCAGGACATGGTGCAAGTCCATCACAGGGACATACAACCATTCACTCACACCTAGGGACAATTTAGAATTACCCATTAGCCTGTCATGAATTTGGTTTGTGAGATGAAGCTGGAGAACCAGGAGAAAACCCACCCATGTACAGAGAGAACATGCTCTACCCAGAAAGATTCCTGGGCTGGGATTTGATCCGACGACCTTCTTGCTTAGAGGCGTCAGCTCTACCAACTGAGCCACCATGCCGCCCAGATCTCTCAAATACAAAATAATAAAATAACAGGAGTTATGAAAACAAAACCTCCTTAAATCCAGTAATAATTAAGTTTATTTTAGAGCGTTTAGATTCTGTTAGTGAATGTACTTATTAAGGCCACTAAACTGTTGCAGCCATCTTGAAATGGATCGACTCTAAAATGTCATCACTAGAAGTTTATCTAATGCAGGCACACATGCACACACACAAAACAAAACAAAAAACAACAAAAAAATAAAAAATAAACTGGACACGGTAATGTGTTGTTGTGTTAGCAATGGACACACACATCAACCCAGTGGTCACAATGTGGGTGGGGGGGTGGGGGTTCAGGATCTTGATCACCATTGGCTTTAGGTGGCCTTCAGCCACTCACATAAACCTGAGCAGCCAGGACAGAGAGGTCTTCCTGACGGCGGACTAATTTACACTACGTGCGTTCCAGCTCCGCTCCGCACCGGTCCGATCTCCGCAGCAAATACGCACCCATTATCAATGAGAGTGTTTACACTGGCTGTGCACAGCGGTGGTGAGCAGACGGCGATCCGTCAAAATTCGATCCGATCCTATTTCTGCCGGACGCCGGAGCTGCGCCGGAATCAATTTTTAAATATTACGTCGCACCAACAGGAAGAGGGACGAGCACAACATCCATATTTTCAAAATAAGACACTATTAGGCGGAATAATGTCAAAATTGCAGCTATATGAACAAATATATGTATATACAGTATTTCTAAACAAATGCTGTCAGAATGTATCGTTCTGTTTGGGAAGCAGATGGAAACATGTAGCATGAAGCATGTGTACACACACGATACACGTGGATTTTATTTTGAAATCAGAAGTTTCAAAAGGACGACAGCGATATAGTTTCAACCATAGATACCAAAAGCCTTTATATTAATGTTTTAATCTGTGATTAGAGTTCGTCTTTCACAGAATTAATTATTTTTTTGCTCTGACTTCCACATCACTGGATTTATCGCGCAATCTCCTTCCTCCACACGCTCCCTCCTCTGTGTCGCACCGGATCAGAGCGGAGGCTGTGGAAATTGGGGCACAAATGAACAGCTGCCATCTGCGCACCGCAGCACAGTGGAGCGGAGACGCATGTAGTGTAAATCCGGGGTTAGGAAGTAAAGTTATCAGGAAGTGCTGTGAAGCTGAACTGTCTCACCAGCAGAGGTCGAGCCAGAAATATCACTTCAATCTAAAACCACCGTAACAAACAGAGAGTTCTGCAGACGAGGCTGATCAGGTTGTAGGAGAAAAAAATAAAGTAAAAGAGTAAAAAGACTTGCTTTGCCTTATTTGTTTAAAGTTCCTAAAAATGTAATTAATCTTTTTGTTACGTAAAACAGTAACTGCAAAAATGTTCTAAACATCTTTTTTCTGTGTAATAATGAGATTTAATCTATTCAAGGAGTTTTTATTGTCATTCCATGACATGCGGAACAAAGCACAGATACTGAATTCCCAATTGTCAGCAATGGAAAAACCAAACAAAAAGAGATAAGCAATAAGAGGATAAAAAGAACACAATAAAAGAAATGTGCATGATCAGTTGCACATGGAGTGTACTGCATCATATAAATGTGCACAATCAGCAAAAGCAGAGTAATAATTTCTAAAAAAAAAAAACAATTAATCGAGATTAATCGCAGTTAAAATGTTTAATCAGAATACAGGAGGGTCTCACCATTAGCATCCCGATAATAGGCATGAGTGACACTGCGGAAACGTTCCTGTCCAGCTGTGTCCCAGATCTGCAGTTAAGACAAAAAACAATCACCTAATAAGTTTCTATTTTTGCAACAAGTCTGACGCTCGCTGAAGCTCAACAAGAAGAACATCAATAAAGATTCAAATCAGATGAACTTTGGAAAGCCTATAAATAACAATCTGCTGTCTTAAGCAGTAAAAATGAGCTTCATATCTGAAATATATTAAAATCTAATGCAGTCAGCGTGTTAATGGTTTCCTATAAAACACATCCAGCTGAGAGAGAGCAACATTAAAAATTGTAATCATGTTTCAGTCAAATAAAGAAGGGCAGAGAAATATTTGTTGTTTTTGTTTAGCTTCGTTTTGATCTTCAACTTCTAAGAGATGAAAAAAAAAAACTTCCAGTCTCTTATTTTCACAGATAATTGCCAGTTTGATCCATCTGCTGTTTGTTGCTTTAAATAAAGCTTCCAGAATCTGGATGAGTTTAGAAACATCATTGAAATGCAGGTGCTTCGGTGCTCAACACACAAACAAGACATTAATCTTAATGGCTTTTTTTAGCTCTCAAATCTACTTATAGCTTTCGTTTTTTTTTCTTTACCTGAAGCTTGACCTTGACTCCATCAATGTTCAGGACTTTGTTCTGAAAATGAAGAGAAAAATAAACTTGATTAAATGACTTGCAGCAAGCAAAAACCTTTGGCCAGGGGGACAAAAACGTCTTGAAGGTTGCTTTGGTTTATGGTCAGGCACCTGTCTGAACAGCCTCTTCTCTTCATCCTCTCATCTACCTATCACACTGCCCTCCGCTGCCCTCTCCATCAGTATTGAATATCTTCACTGCAGTGCTCAGCCACCTTTTCAGATTAACCCCTCTGCTCTCTTTGTTTCCATCTGTCTTCTTTTTTTTCTTTGAAAATAGTTTATTTTTCTGGAAGTTACAGCAGCACACACTGCAATGGTTCTTTCTCTGGTTCTTTTGCCTTAAATTTTTTTATACCTGTCAGTAAAACAGCCTAGGTGCTCAATGCAAACCAAGTTGTGCTAAAAGAATCCATTTCTCTCCAAGTACATTTCTGTCACTATTAAGATTTTTTTCTGCATCTCTCAGTTCTATCGTGACACAGCACAACCAAGCTCGGATAAATTCAATCGCACTTGGCGTCATACCTTATAAGACATCATTCCTCTTCTATTCATTTTAGCTCAAAATCTGGATTCAGGCTGTATTTTAACAGACTGGGCTTAAAACTTGAAACAAACCAACACATACATTTCTGAATCGATATCAAACAGATTTGCATTTTTATTACAGTAAATAAAAATTGATTTTATTCAGATGTAACTGGCAGTCTTCGAGCACTCACAACCATTCTACTAGAAACTTTGCTTGCTGTAGTTCTTTCCAAAATTGACAGGTGTTCAATATCTTCTGGAAGGTGAAACGGCGACACGGTTCTGACTCCTCTAATTTAGATTTTTAAGAATAATTTGATTCCCTATTTTCTAACTTTAGAAGTGGCCGAGAAAACTTGTCAAGATGATAAACAAAATAACAAAAATAAATAGACCCAGTTCATCCATTCTGAGGAGCTGAGTAGCAAAATGGTCTGGCGTTGGCTGATGCCAGGGCAATACTTAGAGGCTTTCCCCACCGTCACCTCTCTCACCCACCTCACCCCATTCCTGGGATTTTCCTGAAAGCTGCTGCTGACCTTCTAATTCCTGAGGAGAGACAGGCAATATTCACCCCTGGCTAAATGCTGCAGAGAAATTTGACACATAGTCTTGGTTAACATCTTTGGCTAATTTACCTCCTCAAGAATCACAAAGGGGAATATGCCATACATATTTAGTGGAGGGGATTTAAGCTGCAAGCTAGATGGTGAGTGACGCCTGATAGGAATCAGTCTCAAAAGACTACACCTCCTTGTTGTTGTTGCTAAAAACAACCCAAAATGTGCTCAGAGGCTTCATAAATATTTAGTGACCCAGAAAAAGTCTTGTGATCACATCACAGAGAGGTTCTCTGAGAGGCTGACGCAGCCTGGTTGCTTTGATGATGCTGGATTTGTTAAGAGCAAACAGTTTTAAATCAGGCAGAGCCTAATATAGCAGCACGGACTCAGCGAGTACTGGAAGATTGAACTTAGACAAAATCTGTTTCCGGAGCCAGTTTACTGCGCTGAGATTAGGAATTATAATATCACACAGCAAAGCTTGCCAACACTTCTACTTCCACTTTACCTCTCAAAGTTTTTCAGTTTAAACATTTTACAGGCTAACGTGGCCCCTGTGCTTTTGAGAAAAGCACCCCTTTCAGCTCACTTTCATTCCCCCGAGCTGCAACAAACACCTTCCACATGGAGGAGTCGCTTCAAATATAAACTGCTCTACTTATCAGCAACACACTGTACCGTTAGCCGTTTAGTGCCTCCCATTTCTCCCGAAAGGCACACGACTGAGGAACGCAAGCTCAGAAGAGAATCACTCAAACGGCACTTCACAGGGATCATAAATTACAGATGTATGAGGAGCTTTCAGAGGAGCCCGTAAAGTGTGAGCGCGTAAAACATTAATGGCTGCAGCACGAGGTAACTAACAAGAACATGACATCCGCAAAGAGCCTGTGTGACAAATTAACTGCAGACAGAAGAATTAGGAGAAAGAGGCCACAGGGTCATACGTCTTCAATGTCTGTGGTGCTGCGATGACCCCTCCACCCCACCCCACCCCTGGACCTGACTCAGAAGTCAAAAAGGGCAAGAACAGAAGGGAGGTGTATCTTATATTGAAGGAGCCATTTTTGTCAAACGTTTAAAATAACATTATGTGTACCCTCATTGGTTAATATCTTACATTATTTATTGATCCTTGGAGACACCACAACTAATCAGAGTTGTAAAGTAACCAAGTACAAATACTTCTTTACGGTACTGGTTGTACTGGAATTTTTGGGTATTTGTACTTTATTTGAGTAATTATTTTTCAGCCTACTTTTTACTTCTACTTCTTTCATTTTCACACAATTATCTATACTTTCTACTCCTTACATTAAAAAAGACAAGAAGAAGACCGTCATTACTTTTATTTCATTTTGCTTGTTTTTATTCCAGCTTTTTATTGTAAAAAAATAATACTATCCCTATAAATTGTGCCTCTAGATAGAGTGAATTAATTGTGGTTGAATGGGAAGGATAAATGTGTAAAATTCTGATACTGTGGTAGTTTGTACACAAACAAATCATGTCACACTCCAGCAGGACATAAGCATTAAAATAAAAGAACTGTACTTAAGAAGTATTTGTAATTCATGAATTATATTATTGCATTTGGTCTGCAGCCCTCAGATAGATTTTTATTTTGCAGAAAAGGTTTGTCCACCCTTGACATATGTATATAAAGTGAAACAACTAGACTAGTGCATCCTAAATTTAACATGAATTAATTGTTTTAATACAACATTAATTTCTGCATTTTTGAGGTGGTCACCTCCTAATAAATGCCATTATGTAAAGTCTAACTGCTCATTTTAATTCAATATTTAAGTACAAAAATATCAGATACATTAAGACTTTTACTGATGTAATATTCCTAAAAGAGACTAACTTTTACCAAAGTAATTTTATTGGTAAGATACTTGTACTTTTACTCAAGTATCACTTTGTGGTAGTTTATACAACACTGCAACTAATTTTAGCTCAATATCTGCAAATATTTCCAGAGGTATAGCCTTATCTGTGCAGGCTAAGTGTATGAGACGCCAAATGTAAAGTAAAATGTTTAAAAATGTCACCAACACTTTTTCATTATTAAGCTCTCTGTTCTTATATTTTGCTTTTTTTTTTTTTTTACTAAATGTTCAATTTAAATGTTAAATAACATGTAGATAAATCCTAAATCTAAATGTAAAAGTTAAATTTTGAAGTTTACATTTAAGTATTTCAGAATGGAATGTAGCCTTTGCTGGTTGTGCTCGGCTCTTAGAACGTCATCATCCTGCAACAAACATCAATGCTAGCTGCTGCTAACGCTTCTCATGCTGATGAAGACAGTATTTAAATTTTAAATTCCAAATTTGTTCATTGAAAACAGTATGGATGGTACCTGTGGCCCGGCAGTTTAAAATGCAGCTCGAATACGGGCCGCAACTGCAAGTTTGACATCTTGTAGGGAAGCTTCAGCGGTGTCCAAGCGTTTAGCGGTAGCTATTGTCTCAGGATGACAATGTCCTAGCAAGAGCCGAGCACCGACAGCAAAGGCTGTATTCCATTCTTGTAAACTTCAACATTTAAGTTCAACATTTAAGATTCAACTTGCACAATTTAGGATTTAGTATTTACACATTATTTAACATTTAAATTGAACATTTAGTAAAACTTAGCATGAAACAGTGAGGTAGATGTGTAGAGGGTAGCTATGCGTTTGACATTTTATTTTACACTCTGCACCCCATCAGTGTGTTTAGCTATGGCAGGGATGAAAGTTTGCACATGCTAGCCAATAAGAGATTCAATAAAACCCCTCCAGTGTTTTTATGATTTTTTTCTCCCAACACAGCAGACAGAAAACATAATTACCCCTTTGCCTTTGGTGGTGGGCGAAAACAAAATTTAGAAAGTCACAAACGCACAAAGACATGGTTAAAACAATAAAAGTAATTTTAAGAAGCAATTAAAATGTGTGGGGGAGAAGTCAGGGGGATGTCAAAGCTGCATGCTATTCGTTTTGTACTCTTCATAATGACTGCTGCAGAAGCGAAGACGGATTTATTTTTTTAAAACTTGTCTGTGTGTTATTTTTTGGACCAGATGAACCAGTGAGTGGGGTGTTTTAAGGGGTAGGTGGGCTCCTCTATGATCAAGGTTGTCTTCCAGATCACAGAGTGGTTTTTCAGTCCAGATAAAGGGGGGGGGGGGGGGGGTTTGCATTGTGCCAATTAGTTTGCTGGAGTGATTTGTAATGCAGGAAAAAGTCTTGTGTCATGGACTAATTATTTATTTCTGTTTCACCTTGACACTGTCCATCACTCGTATCTTTCTGATAGCTCATTTCGGCTCGTTGTCTGTTTGTTTCTGGATGTCAGGACTCCACAACGGACTGACCCCTCTTGGTTGATAACAGACTCTTTGGGCTGGGAGCCCAGTCATAGGCTGGACAGCATATTTGGCAATCTGTGATTGGTTGTAAACTGTCACATGGTGTTAACATGATGTTATATTACTGGCTGTAGTCTGCTGACGAGTTCAGTCGCAAGCATGCAGAATTTCCTGATTCAGTTCTGTTTGTTTGTCGCTCATAAGTAAACCATATTTGATTATCATACATGCAGACTTTTCTGGTATTATTCCAATGTGTTTCTGCATTCTTGGTAAATCGTGCCACCACAACTTGTTTTACGCTCAATGGTGAGCAGGTTGTACCAGGAGGAGATACTGAAGGCCAGGACTGGTGATGTGGGAATTGTAGACTAAAAACCATGAATTCTGTGCTGGTTTGGAAAATCCTGGAGGTTCCTCAGCAGGTGGAGAGGTATATGAAAAACAGGCAGGTGTCTATTTTTTGTTCCCAGATATTTGAAAACCTTATAAACACTGCAGTCAGCTTCACAGTATTTGGTGATTTTATCAGAAAAAAAAAAAG